GGTCTGTGTGTATGTGGGTGCTGTCTGGGTGTGAGGGGGGGCAGGTCTGTGGTGGGGGATTCCCTTAAGAGGACAAGCTCTGTGCTTGTCTTCTCAGGGGTTGAAACTGTGTGTTTTGTAGGGAGTGAACAGGAGTTGGGTTTCTCTGGTGTCTCCTCTTTCCTTGTCCCTGTGGGGCTTTTGAGGCTCCTCAGTGTCCCTCCCTGCAGCTTTTGGGCCTCCCTGCTGTCCCACTCCCTTCCAGGCTGTAGCACACAGGGCAAGTGCCAAGGATCCTTGGTGCTCCTGCCCTCCTCCCTGTGTGGAGGGGCTCTGTGACACCCCCTTTTCCTGCTCCCCCTAGGCCCTCTCAGCATGTTGGATGAGGAGATTGCTGCCCTGGTGGTGGACAATGGCTCTGGCATGTGCAAGGCAGGCTTTGCAGGGGATGATGCCCCCCGAGCCGTGTTCCCCTCCATTGTGGGACGGCCCAGGCACCAGGGTGTGATGGTGGGCATGGGGCAGAAGGACAGCTACGTGGGGGATGAGGCTCAGAGCAAGAGGGGCATCCTCACCCTGAAGTACCCCATCGAGCACGGCATCGTCACCAACTGGGACGACATGGAGAAGATCTGGCACCACACCTTCTACAACGAGCTGCGGGTGGCCCCGGAGGAGCACCCCGTCCTGCTCACCGAGGCCCCCCTGAACCCCAAAGCCAACCGGGAGAAGATGACCCAGATCATGTTTGAGACCTTCAACACCCCTGCCATGTATGTGGCCATCCAGGCTGTGCTGTCCCTGTATGCCTCCGGGAGAACCACGGGGATTGTGATGGACTCAGGGGATGGTGTCACCCACACTGTGCCCATCTATGAGGGTTATGCCCTCCCTCATGCCATCCTGCGCCTGGACCTGGCCGGGAGGGACCTGACTGACTACCTGATGAAGATCCTGACAGAAAGAGGCTACAGCTTCACCACCACAGCCGAGAGGGAGATCGTGAGGGACATCAAGGAGAAGCTCTGCTACGTGGCTCTGGACTTTGAGCAGGAGATGGCCACTGCTGCCTCCTCCTCCTCCCTGGAGAAGAGCTATGAGCTGCCCGACGGGCAGGTCATCACCATCGGGAATGAACGTTTCAGGTGCCCTGAGGCCATTTTCCAACCCTCCTTCCTGGGCATGGAATCCTGTGGCATCCACGAGACCACCTTCAACTCCATCATGAAGTGTGACGTGGACATCAGGAAGGACCTGTACGCCAACACCGTCCTCTCGGGGGGCACCACCATGTACCCTGGCATCGCCGACAGGATGCAGAAGGAGATCACCTCCCTGGCACCCAGCACCATGAAGATCAAGATCATCGCCCCTCCGGAACGTAAATATTCCGTCTGGATTGGTGGCTCCATCCTGGCCTCCCTCTCCACCTTCCAGCAGATGTGGATCAGCAAGCAGGAATATGATGAGTCTGGCCCTTCCATCGTCCATCGCAAGTGCTTCTAGAGGGGCTGCTCCTTCCACCTGGACCACAGTTGGTCCTTCTTTTGGCTTTTCACCTGTTTGTTGAGGTTCTGAGCAGTGTTTTTAGGCTGTAGTTCCAACCTCCTGCTCCTCCCAGCTCCCTGGGGCCTGTTCGTGTTCCCTGGGTCACACTAACGTTAGACTTGTCACCTCCAGGTTGGTCACCACTGGTGTGTTTGTAGCAACACTAATAAACCACTCAGGCTGAGAATCCACTAGAAAAACCTTTATGTTGCTTTCTTTCAGAGTGGGCTCTGAATGGAACCCCAACATCTAGGGGTAAACACACAACACATCCAGTCAGGGCACCTCGTAAAGCCACATCGAGCTGCACACACCATTTTAAGGGCTGTTAGGGAGCAAAACCACAAACTTGCCTGGTATGCAGCTCTCGCAGCCTTTCTGTACTTTCATGGTAAGTTGGGCTTTTTTTAGAACGCAAACAGCTCTTCTTGTCAGGAAAAAAAAAGCTGGCACCTCGTGGGGCTGCAGGGGGGACCCCGGGGGAGCAGCAGCCTCTCCTTTTTTGGGAGAGGCTGAGGAGATGAGGCAGTTTGTGGTGCTGAGGATTGCTCGGCGGGGGGGCGGCTGGACCCTCCTGCTGCGGAGGGGTGTCCACAGGAGCTCGTTTTGGCAGGGAGAGGGATGGCAGCGCCGTTAATGAGGGGCACGGGAGGACCCTCCTCGCTCGGCTCCCGCCGCCCTCTGGGGCGCTCCTCCCGCCGCGCCCCCGCTTTTAAACCCTC